TGTAGGTCTAAATATTAATCAGAGGACAAAGTAATATTTAATAGTTTGTGTTAAATTGTAACATGATTCAACAGAGCTTCAACAGAGCGTTGCTCTTCTTCTGAATAAATGAAAAACTATGCAACACAGTTGTTTACACTTCAATTAAAAAAATTTGACCAAAGGAAAACCGGAGCAGGACTAGAGACTGTATACGACCCACACGACACTAACAGCAGTCGTTTCATTCCTCGGCTTCAGCAGCTCCTTTAATTCCACAGCTGACCTGCTAAAAATGACAGATTTTCTATTCTGGATCTCTGAGAGCAGGACTTCAATCTCTGAACTCGTAAAGTTCTTCATTTTACTTTGCGATGTCATTTATGAATGGACACTTCCTGGTATCTGAGGCAGAAAACGTAGCCTTATATGTTGGTTTTGGGGTGGTAATTAATCTCCTCTCCTCGTGCATCTGATACACATTCATTAGTTTACGGTCCTCGTTTACACACTTTTCCTGAAGATAGAAGAGTGTGTTGAATCTGACATGACAAGTTCGTACGAACCCTTCGTATGAACAAAAGTAAGAGAAAGTTAGGATAGAATACGAACATGTTCTTGCATGAGGCCCAATGAGTTTAAAAACTCTGTATTTAGAAGAAGATATCTCTACTTCCTTATAGGTCTACAGCCACTCTGACTGGATCAGATCAAATATAAAGCATAGTATGTACAGTTGAACCATTTTAAAATGAATAAAAATAAGATTTTCTTTCAACTTCTATACATTTCTTAAACATGACACTAAAACTTTTCTAAATGAAGTATTGGTTCTGGGTATCAGGGTACTTTGTACGAGTATTTTTCCCAATATTTGCAAAAAATAGTCAAATAAAGTGCAAACACAGGTATGGATCTAATCATGCGAAGATGTTAATATTTGCATTGATACGTCCACCGCTAACAACAACATGAACTCATCTGAGGTCCAATCATGTCCCCACCTGTTATTGCTTTGACCACATTCTCAGACACGTCTGGGATTTCTTCATCCATGGACACGCAGAGCATCTGGATGGTCACCCAGTGCAGAGCCCTGCAACACAAGTGATCATCGGAGCTCATGATGAAGGAAGCCTGTGTGGGGAGGGTTTTATTGTGTGTGTGTGTGTGTCTGTGTGTGTGCGTAAGAAGCCTGCACATGTGTGTGTTACAGTCATTTCCCCTGTGGGACACGTGTGCTCAGCAGCTGCCACAGAGCGTTCACATGGAAGAAAAACACCAAGGACTCAGCTAAAAATGGCTGTTGTGTCATCAGCTGCAGACACACACACACACACACACACACACACACACACAC